ACGGGGCCCCGGGCCCGCTCCTCGGCGGCCCGGGCGGCCTGGCGGGCGCCGACCTCGCGTGGCTGAGCCTCTCGGGCCAGCAGGAGCTGCTGAGGCTGGTGCGGCCGCCCTACTCGTACTCGGCGCTCATCGCCATGGCCCTCCGGAGCGCGCCGCTGCGGAAGCTGACGCTCAGCCAGATCTACCAGTACGTGGCTGGCAACTTTCCCTTCTACCAGCGCAGCACGGCGGGGTGGCAGAACTCCATCCGCCACAACCTGTCGCTCAACGACTGCTTCAAGAAGGTGCCCCGCGACGAGGACGACCCAGGTGACAGAGGCGCGCCCGATGCCCTGTCCAGGACTCCGCGGATTCCCGCGGCCGGGCTGCTGGCACTCTGGGAGGCGGGCGGCCTAGGACAACCAGGCATCACTGCACAGCTGGGGAGCTGAGCGGGGAGGAGGGGGAGGAGGAGAGACGTGCTTGGCCGTTGACCGGCTGGTAGAGGGCAGCAGAAGCCGCAGGCCCTGACTCCAGATCTAGCGCTCCGTGAGTCTCTAAATCTCTGCGCGCTCCCGCGAAGGAAGAAGCGGGAGCGCAGGCCAGCTGGGCGACCCTTGGAGTTGCTTCTCTGGGCCTGTGTCCTTTGCTGTAAAATGGGCAGGACAATGCCTACGCCAAGGATTGGTGAGGTAAATGAGATGTCAGTCTGGGAAGCGCTGGAGGCTGCATAGAGGCCAGGCATGGTGGGCTCCGCTCCACTGGCAGAGGGAGTGCCCGAGTCCAGAGGGCTCTACATCCCACAGGCCTTTTCTCTGGCCTTGAACTTAACGGGACTCGCTATTTCCTGGGGGTCGCCCTTCCCCGGTCTTTCTGGGACGTGCAAATTCTTCCCAGTGTGGCTGTGGAAGCCCGTTCCAGCACAAAGTGTCACCTCAAGGTTTGGGGTGGGGGTGAGGGCTCATGGAGGGGTCATTGGGGGAATCTTTCTGAAGATGATTGACCTCCATTTCTCACGTTCGCACCATGGTCCGTCCAAGTCTTGATTTTCTGAGCCTGGCCCTTTCTTCTTCCGCAGGTAAAGGCAATTACTGGACCTTGGACCCAAACTGCGAGAAGATGTTCGACAATGGGAACTTCCGAAGGAAGAGGAAGAGGAGAGGGGAGGCGAGTGCGGCCGCCCCCTCGGGAGCCCGGAGCCCGGGAGGAGCCAAGGCGCCTGAGCTGGAGCCCCTGGGCGCGGCCTCCCCAGACCTGCAGGCCTCGCCGTCCCCTCCCGCGCCCGAGGCTGCCGCCTGCTTCTCCGGTTTCGCCTCGGCCATGGGCGCCCTGTCAGGCGGTCTTGGTACCTTCCCCCGGGGCCTGGCAGGCGACTTTTCTTTCGGGAGACCGACGGTGGTCACCGCCCACGGCTCCCAGACCCCCGGCCCCGCGCCCGGCTTTGCCGCTGGCCATCAGACGGCGGCCACCGGCTTCCGCGTCGGTCACTTGGTCTACAGTCGGGAAGGGACCGAAGTTTGAAGGGAGGCCAGGGATTGTCCCGAGAGTGCCCTGTCCAGAGACACTGAGGTCAAGCCCGGATTCCCGCCTGGCCTGGTGACAGCCCCGCGTGTTCGTGCCGCGGCGGTCAGTGCGGTGGAGGGAGCACAGAGCCGGGGACCGGGCCGCAGGGAACTGAGCTGAGCGTCGCCTCGGCCTCCCAGGTAGTCCACGTGTCGTGTGCCCCTTACCCAGGCGACTATTAGCTGGCGAGAGTGGGCGTTCCCTGCTCCACCTGTCTTTCCAGTTCTCCTGGACCTGAACCCAGGCTCTCCCGGGGATCTGCCTTAAAGAGGCGACGGGCTGGCGCTCAGCCCCGGCCTTTTCGACGGGAGCCTGGCCCACCCAAAAGAGCCTTCTTCGTGCTAGTGGGAGGGCGGCCCGGGGCCCCTCTGTGGCAGATTTCCTCCTCTGGCGGCTCAGGGCCTTCCCCTGGTGCTCCAAGGAGGCTCGTGGGGGTTCAGGAGAAGCCCCAGTGGCGCCAGGTGGCTTCCCTTATCCTCACTGGGAGTGTGCGTCAAGGGGGAACTGGTACTGTTGGGACTGGGACGCAAGTAAGAGAGACTTTCTAATGGCTGGAGCTGCCTGTGATGGAAGGGAGGAGGGCTGCCTGGCAGAGAGCGGCCAGGCATTGGGGGATGCCAGTTCTTTCCCCTGTCACTCAGCGTCCTGGCCTCATTGACCCTGTCCTAGGCGCCTCCGGGACCACAGGAGCAGTGCCTAGCACCAGAGAGCCGCAGGGTGGGTTCAAGTTTGCTCTCTCCCACCGCCACACTCACGCTCTCTCTCTCTCCGCTCCCGCCCCTCATTCCCGATTTGGGCCCGAGCTGCCTCCTGCAGGCAGAGCTGAGCAGCCGCCTCCTGTGTGAATTTAAGCCTCCTCCTCCCAATCTGTATTTACCAACAAGGTTATCTTTGGAGCCGACGGCCATTGGGAGGAGAAATTTTGGCCTCGACACCTCCCCGAGTTTCAGGCGGCCTAGAGCCCCGGGGTCATTTCGGAGCCTTCTGGAGCTGCGGGCCTTTGGCGGGCGCTCCACCTTCCCTGCGCTCGGGGCAAGCGAGAGAGGCGCCTTCGCCGGAGGAGAGCAGGGGGAGGACGCTTAACTCCGAGTAGGGCAGCGGATTTAGCGAGCCCGAGCCGGAGCCCCAGCCCCAGCCTCCAACGGGCCGCGCGGGTTTTCCGTGGGTAACTCCCGATCCGACTGTTGGGCCCAGCGCAGCCGCTGGTGCTGGAAGGGAGCGCCGCGCTTGAGCTGAGCAGGCAGTGGTCCTGATGAACAGCGGTGCGTGCGTGTGTGTCTGTGTCTGTGTGTGTGTGTGTCTGTGTGTGTGTGTGAGAGAGAGAGAGAGAGAGAGACGAAAGAGAGAGAGAGGAGATTGGAGGCATGGACAGAACAAGCCAAGAGTTGGGGTGAATTTGGACCTTGGGTGCACCCTGGCACCCTCCATGGTGGCAGCCAGAAAGTTGCTAACTCCACCGCATGGCAAAGCAGTGTGCTAGTTCTGTTTGTGATATCATTGTGCTCAGCCGAACTTACAACCAACCCAAAATCTCTTTTGGGCAAATACTCCCCAAATGTAATATAATTAAAGAAGGCTAGAAAAGAAAAGGAAAATCCTTACACTATAAATAGAAGAATTTTATCTCCAGCCTATTTTAATAAACTAAAACGCTAAAAATAAACACCAGTGTGTGACTTGAATGTACATGCTGTTTTATACGTTAGAAGAATTCTACCACTATTTCCAACACCCCCAGTTTACACTCTGATTTTGCAGGGAACTTGGAAACAAAGAATTAAAAAAAAAATAAGTTTGACAATATTGGGAAAATACAACGTACAGTTTGACAATCAATGGAGCTGTCAGAAAATTGGCTGACAAACACACATATCAACATTGTGTATCATAGCTGCATGACTGCTAGAAATTGATGCAAATCTGCCTTTTTTTTCTTCCAACAATGGTTTTTCTGTTAAAATTGAGAAAAAGACTTTTCAAAAAAATTTTTCTGTTTTTGGTTTGTTTGACTAAAAATCAATTTTTGGTGTTTAAAAGTTGTTCATCCATTCAAGCTTTATACCATTAATAGGTAATGGTATAATCCAATAGGCAGAATCTTCATGGGAAATGTATAGTTTAAAATAATTCTAGTGGTGTAGGGTATTTGGAAATCAGGATCCATCCCTCCTCCGTGACAGTCCACGTGTCTGGATGTGTTTTCACAATGTAGGGGGATGCAATTCGTGGGTCCTGGCGCAGCCAGCTTCAGAGTCGCTTCTCATTATACCAGAGAAAAGAAACTGTGTGTTGAAATCAAAATAAGTAAACAGAGCAAAGCAGCTTGCAATCAGTTTATAATTCAATACTTTCTTCTGGCCAGGACTCAGTGAACTTGACAGTAGTCCAAAAGCAGGCTGCAGATGGGCTACTGAAGGACCAATTCCTGCTGCCAGGAGGCCAGGAGAATCCTCTCACCCAGGGCCTTGGAGCCCCATCATGGTGCTCAGGCCCCAACTTCTCCACCTCTCTGTCCCTTTGTTGCATTTGAAATAGCGAGGCCTATAGAAAATTTCAAATTATTTTTAAAATAATTGTAAGCCTTTACAAAAGGAGTGCCTCTGTATGATGTTATAGGCACATGATGGTATGCCATTGGAATACTCCATTCTTAGTCTGAATAAACATTTCAGTGGTGCCGAATAGTTTTAAATATAGAAACAGCGTGTTTCAAGCTTCAGAAGGGAAAGACAATCAAAATGCCAGAATATCAGGTTATTAGGAATTCTTTCCATCACCAAACAGTAGTGGAAATTTTCAGGTGATTGAAAACCAAAGGACATAATAATAAAGTAAATTATAATCTCCCCTGGAAATATATTAGTCATTGGGTGAAGAGGAATCCTCGTGCAAAGAACCATTTGTGATGAAGGCTCAAAAATTTGTTAAAAGTATTTTTAAAAGGGGCTAACCCGGTGGCATAGTGGTTAAGTTTGTGCACTCCGCTTCAGCGGCCTGGGGTTTGCGGGTTTGGATCCCGGGTGCAGACATACAACCCACTCATCAAGCCATGCTGTGGAGGTGTCCCATATAAAGTAGAGGAAGATGGGTGCAGATGTTAGCTCAGGGCCCTCTTCCTCAGCAAAAAAGAGGAGGATTGGCAACAGATGTTAGCTCAGGGCTAATCTTACTCAAAGAAGAAACAAGTTTTTTAAAAAGCGTAGCAACTAGTGTTTTTAAAAATAAGAACTGGATTTCAAGATATAAGTTTACATTTCACATATTGATTAAACATTGAGTATGTTTGTTTGTGATGAACATAAGTTTTGCATTTTAGCAGTGCTGCCTTGAAACATTAATGCTCAACTATCAATCTTTAATTTCCCAAGTGTATCCACTGCAATCAAGTGGCGTTTTTCATTCGGGGAAATAGCATCACAGTAATCATTATAACTTTTCAGCGAAACAGGAAACTGAAGTTCATTGCCATTTTGCTGATAGAAAAGCTGAGTCAACGGGCTAGGAGATCCGCCTCCAGAAGCTCATCTAATGAGAGCTAAGGAAGATTCTCGATAGACATGTGCCTTTCTATGGCTCGTTCTCAGAAATGCACCTTCATATGCACATATCTGCACACAGACACAAATCCACACACACATCCCTGAGCCATGTCTTGGCCAGGATCCTCAAGAGAAAAGCCATAGATTGTAGTGCCTACCCTTGATACTCAAAGGCATAGTATTTTCAAATAATACTGTGAGGATATCACATTTGCATTCAGGATTTGACTTCAGACGGAACATGTGTGAACATCACAGAATGCAATAAGTGTCGACTCACATATATCCTAATAAAATGTGATGCATTCCATAAATCTTTTCAGCTGCCAGGCTGAATACCTGGCTTTGCATTAAGCCCTGCGGTAGATAGCCTGGGCCCCTGGCTGCTCTCACAAAGCCTTCTTCCAGTGGGTGAGACAGAGATGAAGGAGCAATTATAACCTGGGTCATGGCTATGTGGTTCCAAAATGATGACTTTATGATCAAGTCAATAAGCCCTTTCATTTGTAAACACACAATTACTGCATTGCGTCTTTAAATACCCCTCACTGTGTTTCGCACATTCTGCTAACTCAGGATGTGTTTGTTTGACTTCTCAGTTTTATAACCTTATTGTGAGTTAGGCCAGGAGTTGAGCGCTGCCCCAGGCTGGAGCAAGTCCAATCTGCTCCCTTCTCCACAGCAACATTTAGGAACCTTAACATAAAGCCTGTCCTCTTGTCGGAAGATCTCTCATCTGATGGTGACAGGAGATGGCAACTATTGTGACCAGAGCTGGCCCTTCCAGGGCTCCTGGGTGTGGATTCCTTTGCTGCATCCTGCATCCATTTGCTGAAATCTGGGAAATGCCTTCTCTTTTAATCTAATATAAAATTTGCTAAACATCATCATTCAAGGCTACTTGCCTGGCATCTGCAATAAATTGACTCCTTTCTTTGGTCAGCTATCGTCAGTGGCTGAACACAAAGACTGTGGAATATTCTTAGGTTCACTCAGTTCACAGAGGGTAAGAGTATGTTAAGTTGGATTTTCACCAAAAACAAAAAAAAATCAGAATTGTTTCCCTGCTTTAACATAGAGCAAATTGAACTGAGGAGTCATCAAGATTTTCTCTATCCCCAAGAATCACCCATTCATCCATCAGACATTGGTTGAGCCTCAAGGTGACAAGGACTCTATTAGATGCTTAATGGACGTTACCTCATTAAGCCCTCACAACCATCCAGGGAGGCAAATTTTATTATCCCATTATACTGATGGGGAAACTGAGGCTCCAACTGATTAAATAACTTCTTCCCAGAAGTCATAGATAATCCTGAGCTGTGTCAGCAGGAAGCTACCTACCCCCTGCCCCTGTTTCTGTGCCTCCCACTTCATCCTTCAGGTCCTAGAGAGATCTCACTTTTCAGGAATCTTTCC